CAGTATCTTAGCTGTTCCTAGGACTGCACTCTTCTGGACAGAGATCTCAGATGTTGTTCCTGGGATCTGTTGGAGCCACTCTCCCAGTTTGGGGGTCACAGCCCCCAATGTTCCTATTACCACGGGGACCACTTGTGCCTTCACCTTCCATATTTCTCAAGCTTCTCGTGTTTATTATATATATCAAAGATGGCTGCATATGATGCCAGATTTAAACTGTGACCTATTTAAATTGATGCTATAAGTCGGGCTGCCATATGGATTTGTCGGAATGATGAAGACAGGCAGAAACAATGCTCTTATAGTCACTTTTTTCTTCTGAGATATGGTTATAGCCTAGTTTACCAACAAGTCTGAGCTTCTCCCGTCAGTTAACCACAGCACATGTTGCTACATTTGATACATGCCAATTTGCACTAATAAAGAATATATATATCTTTATGATTCCTCTTATTTATTATTTCTGATTGAAATGTTTTCCCGACATTTTTGCTAGCTTCCTAGTCCCGTCGTTCGGAAGGAAGCATGGCGCAGAAACACAAGATAAACAGCTGTGTGTTAAGCTTTAAAAGAGATGGGCAAACACACCAGATGCACATATGCAAAACCAGCCACATCGTTGCAGCTGTTAGTCTTTTCTCTTGTAAAAGTAGACCACAATGTTTTGTCCCAGTGAATTTTATTGTCTTTTTCTCCTCGTTCTGGGCAGCAGTTTGCTAAACAGTGTCGTTGGACCTTCTACATCCATACATCAGATAGAGTCACCATTGCTCCCGACTACAGGGAGAAGCATTGAGCAAACTGCTGCTTGACACACCAAAATGAGGAGAAGACAACAAGCTAATGCGGACTGTGGCTACATTCTATTGTAATGCACACTGGCTGACAAAAAATTAAATATAATAAAATAAAAACAAAAGGATCGACTACAAAAGTCTCAGTCAACTGATGGGTCTCTTGACTCACGATCTGATTAGTCGACTTTGAGGGCGCAGATCAAGTCAGAGAAATAGTAATTTGTTAACTTATGTTATGCAGTTGAACTTAAAAGGAGCCCCAGGATGTTCCTTGATCTGACATGCATACAAAACTGAAGAGAGGATGGTTGAGGGTCAAAACTCACAGCTATATTGAGGAGGGTGTTTGGTGACAGACGTTCAGGAAAAGGAGAAGGGTATCTGTGCTGGACTGGGGCTCTCACGTGAACCGCCGTAGGATGGTGGATCTACACGTAAACACAGATGTGCACACACACATACACACACAAGCACACAGAGGCTGGGGTTAACAGACTGCATCTTAAGCAATATCACTACATGATGCAGCAGAGTAACTACTGAAAGTGCTGGTCATACTATGATGGCGCTCACAACAACTAGATATCACATTACTCCTGTAAAACATCAAGTGTTTGTCCCATGTTTAAAACGTGAAAATTTCTTACTTGGTCATACCAAAAGCAACTACAGTAGGCCTTATGTTGAGAGCTTCTGAAAACTTGTGCTGGTGGACACTCAATAATAATAGCAGAGACTTTTCTTTAGAAAGGAGATTTGGTATTCATTCTCTCTTCATAAATAAAAAAGTGAAAAGAAGGGAATGGCAGAAGAAAACAGCAAGGTACACTGCAGAGTGAGAACAGTTGGCTGCTACTCACCTGATGATTCAGGGCATGGCTCATAGGTTGTTTGGGCGGGGTTCCAATAGGCACTACCCTGACTGGAGGGGAGCCAATCACAGGGGAAGAAGAGCGTGGAGGTGGGACCCTCTCTGACAAATCTCTGCCTTCATCATTCCTACCCTGAGGAGGTCGCTTAGGAAGGCCCACCTCTTTGATTATAGACATTAGTGGACTATCCTGAAGGGGAAGAAAATGATAAATGAAATGAGAGATACAGATAACCTGTCCAAAATCTACAACTTGCTTAAGCGATATTTACACTGAGCCTACATTATAAAAATCTGGATAAATATGTGTGTCAACAGAATGATGGACACCATGATTCAGACACTGTGCAAGAGAGAAACTGTAGTAATATGAACAGACTCTCACATTTGTATTTGGGCCAAAAAACAAATACAAATGTCACCACTGAGACCAGAAAAGACCGTGTTTCAGTGGCTTTAATAAAAAATGTGGTATTTTTGTTAAACTGCATGAACTGTGTTAAAGCTTCTATACTCAAAATGTGTTGGACTGTTTGCTATTTTGTACATACCCAATGTCTTACAATGACAGGTGCGTGGATTTAAATGATCACCAAAACACAATAATTCAGCAATACAGAGGTCAGTGGGTTATACACTACAACAACAGTGAAGTAGAAAATGCTACGGTAAAGGTAAACAACACAGGTCTATTGGCCAACTGTTCAACAGCAGGGGTCTCCAGCATGTCACTCACAAGCTAGCAGTAGCTCGCACCCTGATTCTCAGTAGCTCACCTAAAAGTTCAGAAAATAGAATATAGTATGTAGCGTACAATGCATGCATTATAAAACTACTAGTACTACTATTACATAACAGACCTTCACTCAGTAAACCTGCTCAAACTGCAATCCAGTCAAATACACAGATATCCCACCCTCCTTTGTAAAATAATAACTTCATGCCAATCACCTGTCATATGAGTTACATTGATGTCAAGATTGTCAGTTACAACCTTTCAGTGACGTTAGCAACTCTTTTGAACAATATTGTGTTAAGCCTTTAAAGTCTTCACTTAAATGATAAACATGTAACATTACTGTAAAAAGAAACAGGAGGCAAGTTGTCATGACATCAGTTATTTGTGCTGTGGCCTGCAGCATGTTCAGGCTACATTTTAATAAAGGAAGTAGCACTATGCCAAATTCACTATTAGCTCCATTGTCATTTGTTTTGATAAGGAGCCCAAACTACAATAACCAACTTCCCACTGTTTTAATGAAGCCTACAGTACACACAATTTATAAAATAAGGTTTTGATATGTGAAAGAAGGTGCATATGAGCTTGTCATTCTTATTTGATGACTGATGTTCTTTATGTTTTTGATACAAAATGTGTTGGATAGTAATATTATAACTGGTTACACAAAACAATTGGCTCATCAGCTGGTTGTGTTTGGAGATCTGCTTGAAAGTTTTGATTAAATGTAATTTAATCAAATGGAATGTAAATGCGATTAAATGTAACTAGTAGCCTAATATAAAACTTTGGCTGCTTTCATTTTTCAAAGTAGCTCTTTGAGTAAAAAACGTTGGAGACCCCTGTCCTACAATGAGTCATTTTTAGCCTGTGTTTTTAGTTATGCCCTATGCATTTCTAGACGTTTTTTCCTTTGTATAGTTCTGTCTGTTGCCATGAACATGCAAGATGAGACTAAGCCATTCAAATAAACATGGCTGCCCAGTGTTTTGAAGAAACAACGAAGAACTAGTGTCCCTCACCTCCATGTGTGTAACCAGTCCGGGGGTGACACTAACCGGCCCAAAACCAATACTGTTCTCCCAGATGCTGTGAGAGTTCATCTAATAAGGATAATGAGAAAAATGAAATTGAAATTTAAAAAGAATTTACACAAATGAAGTTTAAATAAATGTTACTGCAGTGCCAGGCAGCCAGTTGTACTGAATACATTTTATTTTTAACGTCATTAAAATACTCAAAGTGGAGTTCCAGGCTGCAGATAAGTAGACAATTTTGCACTGAAAGCTGAGATGCTGCCCAGTAAATTGTGGAAATATAAATAATTAGGGCTACAACAACTAAACCGATAAAAAATGCTTGGCAATGAATTTATTTATCAGTTTGTTGGATCTATTCATGTAGCTGTGAGAGCAAACACGGCTGGGTCAGCAACTGTACGAGTGCTACTGTTCCACACTCCAGTGTGGTAGGTGGTAGTAATGCACCGACAATTTGGTTTCCCAGTCGATACTTTTTGTCCCTTAAAGGAAAATTACTTCTATTAAAAACATTCTAGAAACAAAACTGTTAATATTTTCTGATACATACAGTACAAGCATATGAACCTTTACCTTTGTCAACTAAATGAAAGAATGGTGAACATGAACATTTTACATCTTTGTTACTCCATAGAGATCCTTTCACAGCCATGTCTATTGATGTTTAAACCTACAGAGTCGAACAGTCATAACGTCACATAGCAGCCCACTTCCTTTTATCATGATTCATTACTGAAAATATGCTCATTCAGTGCTAATCAACCTTTATCTGATTGAGGGGGGCATTGAGGGATGTCATCAGTCCAACCATTCATGTTTTCACCATCAGAATGTGCCCATTACAGTAAAGCCACTACAGTAAAGCTGTGAGCATAACACAAATCAGCCTCCTTATTTGTGTACACAGAGTTAGTTAGTTAAAAAACAAACCTGGCCCATAGGAGCTGCCCCTCTGTGTAACATGTGTTCCTGCTGTTGGTAGTTGATCATGGAGGAGGAGGGAGGAGGGCCAGGAGGAATGCCTGATGTAGAGCACAGCAGAACACAATAGATTTTATTAAGACAGGGCAAATACATAACAGAGTAAACCTAGCTGTCATTTAGACCACGTTCACACTGCAGGCTGAAGTGACTCAAATCCGATCTTTTTGCCCAAATGTGACCCATATCCGATTTCCTTATGACAGTGTGAACAGCACAAATCCGACCCAGGCCACTTTCATATGTGGTCCTAAATCGGATATGTATCCGATGTTTTGCAATGCGACTTCAGTCTGAACGGCCAGGTCGCATTTCATGCGATTTTTTTGTCACTGAAATGCGACAGACGTCACAATTCTGCGCTGGAGGAGGCGAGGGGTAATAAAAAATGGCAGACAACGGTGATTCAGGTGGTGATAACGTTTCCCTTCCTTCTCACTCGGAAATTATTAATGAATTCTGTGTCCGTGAAGCCCCTCACGGAATCC